TTCAAATTTGCTATAAAAACTGCTTCAACACTAATCAAACTTGGCACAAAATGTTGACTGGACCATTGTCCTTGCAACAACATGCTCAGGCTTAAATTTTTCTGTTACCGATGGCAACGAGGGGACATCTCAAAATTGCCAAAAATCACTATTTTGCGTTGATTTTTTCCATCAAAATTGATTTCAAAGTGCTGCAACTTCTCAAATGGATTGAGATAGAGTCAAATGCTTTTCAGCGTTGGTTACACGTTACCTTATGATCAATCTGGGGTCATTTACAAGCCTCTCACAAGTCCAAAATTTTCTTGGCGATGAGGGGGACTCCGCCCCCCTTCAAACCCCCCCAAACAGAAGGGGGCACATCCCCCTTCTGGCAACCCCCTGATGTATCTTTTGGTTGGGGGGCCGCGCCGAAAAAAGGGTCACTTTTTTTAACAACATTTCTCAAACAAAAACAAGTGTTTGGGGCCTAAATAAGGCATTTTTTCATCATTTGAGACAACAAAAAGGGGGGGTGAAAAAGGCGTTAAAAGGCGTGTATATGAAGTAATGGGTTAACAGAAAATGATGAAAATACTTGAAATTACCCTAAATCGCGTTTTTTCATGTTTAAACATGGCCTGTCATATAAATTTGAAGAAAAATTGTTGTTTTGTAGATTTTTTCATTTTTTTCATTAACCCATTGCTTCATGAGCATTTTGTGAAAAATGGCTGTTTTCATTGAAAAGTCTCCCGTTACAAGTTCAAATTGCTATAATACTATAAAAACTGCTTCAACACTAATCAAACTTGGCACAAATGTTGACTGGACCATTGTCCTTGCAACAACATGCTCAGGCTTAAATTTTCTGTTACCATGGCAACGAGGGGACATCTCAAAATTGCCAAAAATCACTATTTTGCGTTGATTTTTTCCATCAAAATTGATTTCAAAGTGCTGCAACTTCTCAATGGATTGAGATAGAGTCAAATGCTTTTCAGCGTTGGTTACACGTTACCTTATGATCAATCTGGGGTCATTTACAGCCTCTCACAAGTCCAAAATTTTCTTGGCGATGAGGGGGACTCCGCCCCCCTTCAAAACCCCCCAAACAGAAGGGGGCACATCCCCCTTCTGGCAACCCCCTGATGTATCTTTTGGTTGGGGGGCCGCGCCGAAAAAAGGGTCACTTTTTTTAACAACATTTCTCAAACAAAAACAAGTGTTTGGGGCCTAAATAAGGCTTTTTTCATCATTTGAGACAACAAAAAGGGGGGGGTGAAAAAGGCGTTAAAAGGCGTGTATATGAAGTAATGGGTTAAAACCAGGGCTTTTTATTTGACCAAACTTGTAAGACACCCGTTAGAAGATGTTTCATGATGTTTTAAATTTTTACTACACACATATAATGTAAAACAAAAAGACCTCTGCACCACCCCCCACCCCGGCATGGCCAATTTTTATACAAGGGCTTAAATTTGAACAAACTTGGTCGACACCATAAGATGTTTCATGCTAAACATCTAGGCTCTAGCTCATTGGGTTTTTTAAAAGAAAATTTTTTAAGTTTTTACTATACACAAATAGTTAACAAGAGCTGTCACAGGAGACAGCGAAGCTCGACTAATAAAATACTGGACGCAGTAAGGAGGACAAAACTATGAAAGAAAAATCAATTATGTATAATTATGTGTTAAGTTATAGTAAAAAAATAACATTTGTTAACATTAATTCCAAGATCAAGGGGAATAATTCTAGAAATAGTCATGCTAGAGTTATGGACCTTGTCACACAACATTTGTGTAATGATAAGAAATATATATTTGAAGTTTGAAGTAGATACCTTAAAAAAGTAAGAAGTTATTATATTTCTTAAAGAAAAATCCTAAGTTCAAAGAGAGATAAATCTGTAAATATTGCTTCAAGAGTTATGAACATTGTCACATAAAATGTATTGATGATTAGGAATAAGTATTTGAAGTTTGAGGTAGATACCTTTAAAAATAAAAAAGTTATAATAAAAAATAACATTTTTCTAGTAAAAAATCTAAGTTTATGGGGAGATAATTCTTGCAATATTGGTGCTAGAGTTATGAACCTTGTCACATAAGATGTGGATGATGATAACGTAAATATATTTGAAGTATGAAGTTGATCCCTTTAGAAATAAAATAAGTAACAGTAAAAAATAATATTTTTTATGGAATATTCTAAGTTCAAAGGGAGATAAATCTGAAAATATTGGTGCTAGAGTTATCAACCTTGCCACATAAGATGGGGAGGATGATAACGTAAATATATTTGAAGTATGAGGATGATCCTTTAAGAAATAAAGAAAGAAACAGTAAGAAATAGCATTTTTTTAGGAAAATTCTAAGTTCAAGGGGAGATAAATCTGAAAATATTGGTGCTAGAGTTATGAACCTTGTCACATAAGATGGGGATGATGATAAGGTACATACATTTGAAGTATGAGGTTGATCCCTTAAGAAATAAAGAAGTAACAGTAAAAAATAGTATTTTTAAGGAAAATTCTAGGTTCAAGGGGAGATAAATCTGAAAATATTGGTGCTAGAGTTATGAACCTTGTCACATAAGATGTGGTTGATGATAAGGAACATATATATTTGAAGTTTGAAGTTGATACCTTAAGAAATGACAAAGTTAATAGTGAAAAATATTTTACTGCACCAAAACTTTAATCTAAAATCTGGACGCGGACGCCGACGCCGGGGCGAGTAGGACAGCTCTCCATATACTTCGTATAGTCGAGCTAAAAACAATGAAACCCCTTGGGTGGGGCCTTGTACACACTTACCAGAAGATGTTTCATGCTTTAATATCTAAACTCTAGCTATTTAGGTTTTTTCAAAGAAGGTTTTTAAGTTTTTGCTATAACACATATAAGGAAAATCAATGACCCCCGGGAGGGGCCAATTTTGACCCCAGGGCTTTTATTTGAACAAACTTTGTAGACACTTACAAAAGATGTTTCATGCTTGATATCTAAACTCTAGCTATTTTGGTTCTTTAAAAAAGATTTTTAAGTTTTTACTATATGCATATAGGGGAATTCAATGACGCCCTGGGGCGGGGCCAATTTTGACCCCCAGGGCTTTTATTTGAACAAACTTGGTAGACACTCACTAGAAGATGTTTCATACCTTTAAAAGAAGATACTTTTGTCTAAGCTCTAGCTCTTTAGGTTCTTTAAAAGAAGATACTTTAAGTTTTTTTCTTTTGGTTGCCCATGGCAACCAGTGTCTATGAAACAATATTTAGAGGTGACCACCAAAGAAACATTCCTGTGAAGTTTGGATGAAATTGGCTTAGTGGTTTATGAGGAGATGTCATTTTAAAGTGGACGCCAGACGAAAAGCGATCAAAAAAGCTCACCCTGTCACTTTGTGACAGGTGAGCTAAAAATATTTAAGTGAATCTTATTTTCCTGGTGAAAAACTGGTGGCTCAATAAAGTTCTATACATATTATGATATTTCAAATATTGGAAAGTTATCTCTAGTTCTTGGTGAAAGACTGGTGACTAGTTTTCTCCTCAATGTCATTTCTTTTTCTAATTAGATTAAGTCATGGTACTATATTCATGAGACTTTCGACATCACATCTAAGAACTCATTATCCAACATTGCCAAAGGGCAGGCAGTCTCCTGATATTTCCAATTTCTTTTAAAGTTTATAAAACCACAATATTTCTATTTCTTTAGTGTTTCAGACATGAAGACACATCTTATTCTACATGTATCTTTCCTTATCACTCCTGCTTTTACTGTTCTATCATATAAGCGCCTCTGTTTCCTGAAATATTTGTTTTAGAAAAAGTTAATTGCAAAATTAAAATTCCACTTGTAAACCCTTGCCGAGAACAAACTTACAGCAGTGAAAGGCTTAAAGGTTTAAAATGAAGAAAACTAAACCAATCAGTCGCAGACACCCCAAGTATTTTATCTATTTGCTAAGCAGCAATTTTTTTCAAAAATTATTTAAATTCATAAATGTGAGTGATTCTGATAAGCTATAGACAGCTAAGTGATGATAAGATGATCATATATGTCAGATATGTCGGAGTGCTAACACTACTTACTGTGAATATTCAATATTTTAATGTGAATTGTCCTGAGGTAAAAAGGAAAAGAAAGCTGAAATCCTAAAATACATGTTACATGTCACAATTGTTCTTGCAATTAATTTTGTTCCTAATTTCTTGTATAAGATATTTAAATACACTGTAATTCTTTTTTATAAATTTGGCTTTTTGTGACAATAGTCTATCCAGTGACTGAAGCTCACTGACTTAAAATAAACTGTCCTGTGTCAGCCTTTAAACAAGTCAAGAAAAAAAAAGCTATTAGAATATAATAATTAAGAAATATCATATACAAAATACTTCTAAATAATCATGTACCTCTTCCTTAAAAGCCCATGCTATTGAAAGAGACATTTTTTCCATTTGTTCACTTCAAGGTTAGTCAGATTGACAGTCTCACATTTTAGCCTTTATCTCTCGTGATTTCATTGTCATTGACCCTAAAGCATCCTTAAAATCGATATCCTGCTGTTCACATTCATAAATCTGACATGTAGGCCGAACTTCTGAAACATAAAATATAATTATTATTAGATATACATATAGTATCCCAATAATTATGTTAGTTAATATCAAATCAATAATTTAAGCAGTGTTTCGAAATTAGCAGTAGTCTGAGAGTCTGACTACTAAATTTCTCCTCGGGCTACGCAACTTTTCACAGTAACAGGCCTGACCAGGCTACTGTATTTTCAGAGGCAATATAAACAACTGTTTTGAACAAATGAATCGTGCTAGTGAAATGTCTTTTGGACAAGTGAATATTCCAATATAGTAGTCTGACCAGCCTAGTCGATTCAAATCCTAATTTCTTACACTGTTTAAGAAACAATTTGTTCAAAATTGTCCAAGCATAAAGATTTTTATAGTATACTATAGTAATTATAGTGTATATACAGTATGTATTAAATGTCTTTACTATCTACTATACTGTCCTGAAAATTTCAAGAAAACAACTATCTTTAAAATCCATTTTCTCAGAAGTTGCAAAAAAACCAAGTGAATGAAATTGCTCTGGGTTTGTATTATTCTGTACAACTTCTGATCACAAAAGCTTCAAGGACATTTATGAGTGAGTCAGGTCCTATCCTGAAAGATTGACATCATTGTTGTTCAAGTTTGAAGACAATCCATTCAAAAATAACAAATTATAGCCACTAATAGCAAAAATCAAGAAAATTTAGACATTTACCTTGAATGTTAATATGGTGGTCAAGTTAATTTAGTTTAGTCTGGTCTATTTGAAGGGTTGTTGTGGCCAAGTATGAAAGACAATACACCAAGATCTGAAAAAGTTATGAACAAGGTTAAAGTTTTGATGACAGCAATGGGAAAGCCATCATGACTAACAATATATTTAATAATTTTGGCCCTAATGCAAACTGAAAATTCTAGCCTATAAACACTGTTGAGACTAGCTGTTCAGCATTTTTTCAATAATAAATAAATGCAATAATAAAGTCGGTAACTTGCAAGTCTTCTAACATTTTTACAAAGAATGAACATATATACAGTGATTTTTTAAAACTCATCAGTGTGGGTCCTTAGTACTTGCTGGGCTTATAAATCTATGAGTCCCATAATTTAGCCGACAAATCCAAGTTACAAATCTTAATACTGCTTAAGTGATATGACAGGTATATTAACAATGGAATGGAGAAAAAAATGAATTTGATTTCTATATTAATTACAATGCTTCTGATACTTGAAATTATTCAAAACTGTCAAATAAATTTAATATGTTTATTTTCCATTAATTTAGTTTGATATTAATCAAAACTTCATTTTCCTTAATATTTTTAAGCTTACCTATAGTATAGCACATTATTATATCTTAGCTGGACCTAGAATATGATTGACATAAGTTGAACACTATTTGGTATTAATTTTAATACCAAATTTCTGTCAGACAGGACTCCCTACTTAGAAAAAGTATGCATCCAAAAGATGCACATTATTTGAAACTTTGCATCCATAGCAAATTCATTGAGTTCTGGACTCAGGATGCAAAGGTAAAAAAATCACTGATATATATTTTTTCCTTATAATTCTACAATGATGTTCAGTCATTTATATTATAACAAGATATCGGAAAGATTATAGATATATCAGAAATGAATTGGCCCGTGGACTTTAATGTCAATCATAGAGCTCTTATGCAAAATGTAATGGTAAGCAAACATCCAGCATGAAATTTTCAAGTAGCCACAAGTTAAATAAAATTATTAAAAATACTTTGTCATGATTCAATTACTGCTGGAAATTGACCCACATGTTTTATTACAAATTTATTACATCAATATTGTCCATAGAAATAATAAATTAATTTTCAGTCTCTTTTCTCTTTGCGCTTTCACACAGATTTGAATTATTCAAGTCCATGATTTTCAGAAGGAAAAAATCTTCTGATCATCAAACACTAAAAATTACTATACCAAATGCAAATTGCAGTCTGTGCGAAAGGCTGCCTGTCCTCGGACCTCGCCAAATAAAAATCAAGAGGGCCATGATAAATATTTATACAGTTATCGAATATCAATTGTACACAACAGTTGAATATAACATATTATAAACTTATTTCTATCTTAATAGATAGTCTATATACAATAGAAATGAAAAAGCAAATCCTTCACAACAGTCAACACTGTAAATTCGAATCAGGGTCAGATCGGCCCTCAAACGTATTTGGCCCTCGAGACAGCTCGGCCCTATTCCAACTCAGCATGGGTCAACTCGGCCCATAATTACATAATTACTGATAATGATTACTTTTCTTACTTTTTGATATGTTTTCATCATAACTGTCATGGTTTAACATTTTCACACTAACAGACATCTACTCAAGGATATTGAAAAGTATGTGAAATTGTAGAGAAAGAAAGAATTTACAATTTAAACGCATTTTATGCTACTCCAGATTTTTTTGGTAAAAAAATATCGTTAAACAAGCATTTGCCATATTAAAAAACAAACAGTATTAAATACAATAAAATTCATTGTCACAAAAATTCAATCTAAAAACTCTATTTATTGATTAATATTTAAACATATATTGTGTTGATATCTCTTCTAAAGATAATTATTTATCTTAAAGATAATTTCAAACAATATTTTATTAACTAAACAATCTAAACAATCTATATCCTAATAAAGCTATATGGTTTTAATAGAGGACCGAGTTGACCTGTCCCGAGTTGGTATAGGGCCGAGTTTACCTGTAAATTCAATAATGTAAAACAATCCTTGACCTAATTTCGTTTGTCTAAACAAATTAACATCTGCAAACACAAAACGATTTTGAACAAAGAAATAAAAGCATTTCCACAAACCTTTGCGATGTTATTCATCAGCAAATCTATGTCTTGGATGGAGAAATCTGAAAAACACGAACGTTATTCTGTCGATGGTCCGAACAATGGCGGGTGTGCCCTACTAGTCAAAACCAAGTTTTACCAAATTGCATCCGTTAATTCCAGAATACCTTTGAAAGACTTGTAGTGTTATCTTGTTTTTTATTATTTACATAATAATATTTTTGTTTCAAACGCTTTGATTCTATGAAAGTTTGCGAACCATTTTTTGCGAAAATAGTACGCTTTTTTAAGGCCACATATTGTATCCATTGTTTCCTCTTGAGTTATTGACGTAAAAAAAATCAGCGGTGGCATAAAATGCTATTCAATAAATTGCTAAATATATACAATAAATACTTTCATTTCCCTTCGGTTGACTTACATGTGAATTTTTCAGCATCTCTGCTACAAAATGACACCTTATTTATATTCAATTTATTGTACATAGGTACATGGACACAAACTTTTCTGTGGCCTAATGCGTAATAATACTGATGTTTTTTTTTCGTACACGTTTAAGATTATGTTCCATTGATGTTAGCTAACATTGAATATCATCATTTCAAGTTTTTTTGAACATCAGCTTTTTCTTAAAGTCATCCACGTTTGAAAGTATACATATAGTTCTGCTGCACTACTTTCTTGGTCGCATTAACTACTTATTTTCTATTGAGCTTAAACAGAATGCAATTAGGTGTTGTTCGTTCTTTTTGATATAGGCAGACCGATAATATAGAAAGGAAATTTTTTTTTGAAAAAATTTCCTTCCAAAAACTGATTCAAAGCTAGTGTATTAATTTATTGGTTCACGCTGGCATCAGTTCCCCAACAATCGCCAGAAAATAAAACCACAACACCTTACACAGGCCATGATAATTAACATACTGTAAATAATTAAAGAGTTTTATTCATTTAGCCGTTTAAAATTCTACAAATTAATGATTACCCCACCCACCTACTCCAACATAACTTGTTCCAGTCCATCCAAGAAATATCCATGATTTTTTTTAACATATTTTTTTGGGTATTTTTTCGTCTTGTTTAAGTTTTTGTTGTTTTTTTTTTTTAAAAAGATAAAAATCTTTGCAGATGTTCATAGTATGGCAACTTTAGTTTCAACAATTCTGTGAAGATTGTTTCATAGCATTGTAATAGAATATGGTAAATAAACATAAATTTGATTGATCGAACACTTTCATTTCTAGTTTGAGTAAATAGATAAAATCTCTATGAATAGGGTAACACTGTTTCAAGCAGTAGAAATCAAACAGCAAGTTTTATTGACAATTTGATAATCAAATATTCAAGTTTACGTGAAAAATTATAAATTCCATTTAGAATTTCTTCCCGAAAAAAAAGCCTGCTTTAATTCATGTCCCTATTTTTACGTAAAAGAATTAACTCCCTTTAACATAATTAATGGAGCGTAAAAATCATGTGGCCAATTTTGTAAGAAAATTACACTGACAGGAATCATAGTCATCGAAGCTACAAATTTTCTTCTCAAATGGAATTATTTTGATTATTAGATATATTAACCCCCTAAAGTCACATTCCACCTTGTACACAGGCACAAAACACTCTCCTGGTACTGATAAAGGCACTCTGTCAGTACAGGAATGATTTCCCTCATGGGTAACAATACAATCATATATATCCCATTCAATAGTTTTCCTGAATATTTCAAATATAAAAATCACAAACTGAAAACATAAGAAATCTCTTATACTGGACACAAGTTTAACCCATTCTGATAGGATAACTCCACAAAGTCAACATTAAACATTCTAACTTCAAGCACATACTAAAAGATTTAAATAATTTTTTTTTTTTCAACTATCTTTGCTCAATCAAGCAGAGATCCGTTGACCATTAAAAAGATTTTAAATCAATGGCCCATTTAAAAGTTGCCTGCATAAAACCTATGCTATTTCCTGACATATTCCAGAATAGATTATTCCTATTGTAGTCAATTCTGTCACACTATGGCCTTCACTGTTAACTCCATTATACAGCTCAATTAAAAACAAGAACTGGAACAGAGGTATATAATCACAGAAGCAAACTTTGGTCCGATTTTTTTACAGTGGAAATCATGATCTGCAGGAAAAAAACAAAATCTGCCAGTTTACCTATATACCGTCATGGGATTAAATCTGCTGAAGCTTAATACATAATTCCTCCAAAAAATGTATAAAACTTTTAACAAGATTGTTATTCATCTTGCAATAAAAACATGCTTAATCATTTTGAATCAAATCAACTATTTTCTTAACTGACTCCTTTCAAAAGACTATTTATAAAACAGCTTGTTTTTTTTCCTTTAAAGAAAAGTGTTTTTCAAAAACTTTCTTTTTTTTAAATACATGTACTTAAAAAAACTTATTTATTTCTTAACTATCCTGCGATTAGAGCTCCAATTACTTTTTTGTATCCTTTATCTTTTTTATATATATAGCCTCAAAAACATTTTTGTCCTTTTAAATGAATATTGCTTCAAACTTTTTATCTCTATAAACGATATATATTGTGCTTCAAAAACTTATTTTATCTCCGTTCATGAAGAGTATATTAATGAGTATCTCAAAAACTTCTTTGCCTTCTTTCATGGAGAGTTCATCAATTTAAAACATGTTTTTGTAACAGTAAAATTCAAATGTTCCAACTTTTCAATCTTGAAATCCCCAACATGTCCTGAAAATTTTTGCAAGTACATCTTTAAAAATCCCAACATGTCCTAACAATTTTTGCATGTACATGTAATGCAAGCATATATCCAAGCACAGGAAAATTCAATCAAATAATGTGCAAGCAAAACCACTTACAACACACAATGGTTCTGGTACAGGTTTTCAATCTTGATTGATGGCATATGCAGCGCACAAGCCTTTAATTAGTAAAATTAAATCTGTTACAGTCAGCTATAGTTATAAACTTTATTTGGAATCAGTTGACAATTAGAAAACATGAGTATATGGTGGCTGATTTGGATTCTGTTGTCGCTAGCAACAGCACGACAAAGCGACAAATGGCTTGTTATTGGACTTACGTCTTGTCGTCCTGTCGCTCAATGATGCATGCCAAACGGCGCGTTGTCGCGATGTCAAATTTTTGCTTCGCTCAAATCGAAGGATTTGCTTATAAACCAAGCTACAATGAGCAGTTCAGCGTGCTTCGCTAGAGACAGGGCGACAAGACGACAGCGAGCCATTTGGCGCATTTCGCTAGCAACAAGACGAAAAGGTAAATAATGATATACTATTAGGTTATGTTGTAGCTATCGACATCGCAACACGCAAAGTGTACCAAATCAGCAACCATATGAGTACTTTTTAATGTCTGTGCCGGACCATTCTTTAGGTGTTTAGAAATTTCTTTTCTTTTTCTTTTTTGGGGGGAAGGTGGGGGAGGGGATAAAAGGGGTGCTGGCACTCGTCAGAGCGCACACTATAATAAATAACAAATTTGTGAAATTGTGACGTTTACTTTGCTGTCGTTACCAAGACAACCTTTACATCATCAAAATCAGAATACTCATTTGCAAAAAGTTCCATTAATGCCCTACTTTCAGATGGCCAGCCTGTCTGTACTTCTGATTTTTCAATCCATATAAATCAGATAAAAAAAGTTGTTCAATATGCTAACTGGCATGGGTCACCCCATTAAAAACAAGGATAATTTTAAGGCTGGCCCTATTTCTTTCTACTTTCCACTGACTTTTTATATTGATCAATATTGACATGAAAAACACAAATTTCTTTCGCCAAATTAACAATTGTTCCTTCAGATAAAAAAATGCACTCAACTTAAAAGAAATTAATTACTAGGTACCTTAGTAGCTCTAATCATGTGGGGAAAGTTTTTCAAGCTAATTTCAGATTGAAGTATCATAATTTTCTATTGATATCAGATCATTCAAATATTAAAGTGAATTGCTGGCAGACAACTGGAAATTTGAATACGCAAGTGTGACAATACTGTCTCGGCTATGTCCCCAGTACAGAGCCTCTGCAAGTCTAAATAAATTTACTGTTAGGGGTTCAAATTTCTTTTTATTTAATAATTCAATCCCTCAAACATTGATTGTTGACAGTTTAGATTTCAAAGCAGACTTAGAACCAGTATATAAGTAATATTAAGGAGCATGAAAACACGAGGCTATCTGATTGTACGAGGGGGCGTAGTCCCAATGTATAAATCAGATTGCCAGTGTTTTGATGTTCTTTCTACACACTGGTGGCATATGACTCTTCACCAGTGGCATGTCTCCACACCAGTCTTGTGGCAAATGCTCCACACTGTTTGCATATGATTCCACAATGGTACCATCTGACTCCTAACTGGTGGCATGTCCCCACACTGGTGGCATATGTTCCACACTCAGTCTGGTGGCATGTGACTCTACACTAGTGGCATGTCTCCACACGGGTGGAATATGACTACACTGATGGCATACGACTCTACACTAGTGGCATGTCTCCACACTGGTGGAATATGGCCCTATACTGTTGGTATAATAAGCTCTACACTAGTGGCATATGTTCCACACTCAGTCTGGTGGCATGTGACTCTACACTAGTGGCATGTCTCCACTCTGGTGGAATATGGCCCTATACTGTTGGTATAATAAGCTCCACACTGTTGGCATGTCTCCACATTGGTGGAATATGGCCCTATACTGTTGGTATAATAAGCTCCACACTGGTGGCATATGGCCCTATACTGTTGGTATATAATAAGCTCTACACTAGTGGCATGTCTCCACTCTGGTGGCATATGGCCCTATACTGTTGGTATAATAAGCTCCACACTGGTGGCATGTCTCCACACTGGTGGCATATGGCCCTATACTGTTGGTATAATAAGCTCCACACTGGTGGCATATGGCCCATATACTGTTGGTATAATAAGCTCCACACTGGTGGCATGTCTCCACTCTGGTGGCATATGGCCCTATACTGTTGGTTATAATAAGCTCCCACACTGGTGGCATATGGCCCTATACTGTTGGTATAATAAGCTCCACACTGGTGGAATATGGCCCTATACTGTTGGTATAATAAGCTCCACACTGGTGGCATGTCTCCACACTGGTGGCATATGGCCCTATACTGTTGGTATAATAAGCTCCACACTGGTGGCATATGGCCCTATACTGTTGGTATAATAAGCTCCACACTGGTGGCATATGGCCCTATACTGTTGGTATAATAAGCTCCACACTGGTGGCATATCTCCACAATGATTGCATATGACATTGCTAGGAGTTATGAGAGTTAAAACAGCAGATTTAGAAAGACAAAGTGTAATTGTAATATCTTGATGGTATTTCAATATGTTATGTTAAACTTCTTTATTCTTATCAGACATTCACCTAAAATCCATCCTTTGGGAAACAACAAAACAAAATTACTTTATACCATTTTAAGTTGAACTGACTATCAAGCCAAGTTTCTGCAGTGTTAATTTAATTTATTTCAGGAGTTTCAATTTCAAGACGAAAAAAAAAAGGATATGTGGACTTCATATCACCATCAATGCCAAACTGTGAACATGTATTGCAAACAAGCCAAGAGATAGGGGAGCAAAAAATGTTCATATGATAATCAGTTATCTCTATAGTTAATTATCTGATATGCAGGTGCTCAAAGTTAATATTGCTATTAAACATGATAAAATTTTTGTTTTATAGTTGATAAAATATTTAACACCAGGTTGTCCCCTGTGGCGCTTTTCATGAGAAATT